GGAGGTTCCCCCCCTTTTTATTTCGAAATGTTGTACAGTTCGATGGATCACGCCAGAATAACCATCCTTTATGGGGTCACAAACGTAAAAAAAAACGTGAAAAACAACTTTTGCTACAAAAAATGTACGCAAGGGCTGATTGCAGGGGTTAACGTTGTCTGATTTTCAAAATTTTCTTCCATATGTTTTAAATTTAAATTCTTTTAAAACTAAAAACTCAAAAAATTTAAATTTAATTTTTTTCAAAATTTTTCCATTAAATCTGAAAAACAGACGACGTTGTCCCCCGCAGTCGGTCATTGCGCACAATTTTTGTAGCAAGACTTTTACTCCAGCATGCTTTGTTATTGCAGGATCCTTGGCAAACGTTTTACACTGCAGTAAATGCTCCTCACACTTTATCAAACTATGTCAGTTTGGAAAGGACGATTGGGTTTGAATTTGACGGATTGTAACAAGGTGACTAGATAGCCCAAAGTGTTCTCTACAGTAGAATACTTTTGAAAAAAGGTCACTTCCAGATAGAGATGATGACTAAATAAACGAGATCTTGGAATTCACCTACTTGTTAAAATGTAGTGAAAGAGAAAGAAAACAAAATGGAAAACCTTGAAGGTAGAATGGTGAATGTGTCGCAGCATCTTACTCCGTCTTGAAAAAAAAGTAGTTTTCTGTGCGGTACCTTCTAGCATTTGGGTAATTCTTTCGCTAGTGTCTCACACTGTACATGAACGACTGCCAAAACAATATAATAAAGATACTAAAAGTATTTAATATTCATCTTTTAACAATTGTTCCGCTAATTGACGCGTAGCAGTTAATTTGCCAACATATAAATTTCTGTGTGCGAACTTCTTGAAAGTAAAATAGAAAATGTCTGATAATACTACGCTGTTTGGAACCTCTAACATAAAATGCTTGTTGTCAAAAGTAAAAAAATTATATGCACATCATTCTGTCGTTGAAAATCGAAGGCGTTTTCTTAACATTTATATGATATTCATGATTAGCAGAAAAAGTTGCATAGACTCCATGGGTTTTTAAGGAAATTCTTGAAAAGTGTGTTCAACTTTGCATGAGAAATACTGCAGATGTACTTAAACCCCGTCCACATTAGAAGCCTAGTGGGCTTCTATTATGTCCCGCAAGAAAGGCAAAATTTTGCAGAAAATTGCCCCTACCGTATGGGGGCAGGGGTACTTTTCAAAAAATTTTTTGACTGACTGAGCTTCTAATGCGGGCGGGCTTGTATTATGGGGTGGGCTTCTAATGTGAGGGGGGTTTAACAAAGTCGATCTATTTTTTCTGTTACGAGTAACGATAAATTAACAACAGTTTTATTTGAAATTGATCAACATCAAACATCTACAAGGAGACCATTTACTAATATTTCATCAAAGAGTTCCATCTGATGTGAAAAACAAGCTTTGTTGTTTGTTAGTTCGATATTTCGAATAACATCTGGTAACTATGATGCACGAGAAGAAAATAAATATCGTTAAACTAACATCATGTCATGATACAGACCATGATTTAAAACGAATATTTGAAACAGATATGAACAAAACGTTTCACGTGCCCGTAGCGCAATTCGCAGCTGTACTCGTTCCACAACCCGTTTCGAAACAACAAATACAAGAAAATTTAAAATTATTGAAACAATGAGAAGAAACTAAAAAGAGTTATGTCACTTCATAACACGGATGCCCTAAACACTTTATTTCGTTATTATTAAAACCCAGTGTTATTGTGTTTATATTTTAAGAGAACGTTCGTGCAATCAAAGTTGCCTACAAATCCGAGTTTTAGACCTTCAGTAATGAAACTGGCTGATTTATGAGCTTTTCACGAAATGTCCTGTGAATAATTCCTTAAAAATCTTTGTATTCCGATTATTCTTTCTCTGTTCTTCACCTTAAAAATTTAAATTTTATAGGAGTCGTTTATACCGTGCTGCCCATGTCAAATTTTTTTAACAATTCCTACAAAAAAGTGCGTTTTTTGGCCCTTTTCTGGTCACACTAACGCAACATCAGAAAACGCATGGTTCTTATGTGAGTTTTCTTGAGCTGTATTTTTACCCTGCAAAAATAAACAAGAAAACGATAGCTTTTTTGTCTTTTATCGCAGAATCTTTTTGTTGCGTTATACTGCGTGTATTTTTTCAATAAAAGTTTCGCAAAAATGTTTTTGACTTCACAGCGCAAAAAAACGATGAGTCAGCGTAACTAGTGTATAATTCGAAAAAGCGGCATATGTGCAGCGGTTTACTGATATAAATGGTCGTTTTCCACTAAAAATTTATTTAGAGATTTCTCTAAGCAATCTCACTTAGCTTGGAGAAGACTGCGGCAGCAGTTCTGGGGACGAGTCACGAGGCTTTGTCTGTGGGTGAGTTCGATGAGCCGGTCCAGTGATTGTCTGAGAAACACATAAAGCTTTATTGCTGTTATCACGGACAATAATATTTTAAGCGTAAAAGCGATGGCATTTTCTTGCGTTTGATCGCAAAAACTTTTGCTTCTGCAGAAAAACGCAGAAGAATTTATGCGTGTGATGTTACGTGGGACACGATTACTACAGATTCTTACAAAACAACGGACCTGAATTTTGCAATTTTTTGCAAAAACATCTCTCGAAATTTCAACATGGCTGTTTCAAACAGATGACGTGTCATAGTTTCTCTCAGTTTTTTCTTCACACGATAGTATAAGTTGGCTAATTCGACGAAAACTAATTTCCTTCGAAAAGTTCACTGGAAACTCTCATAATTTGCCGCAGTAACTGTGTCTAAAGGAAAGATTTCTCACTGTGCAGACGAACTATGCCGTACATGAAAATGCGCTGATAAAGACCACCGTGGTTTTGTTTTATCTTCTGTTCTTTGCGTTTGTTTTTCGTCTGACGTCATAGGTAGATGTTTTTCGCTTCTTATTTCTCACATGCTTCTTTCTCTGATGATTGGATACGTTTGTATGAATCACAGGTAAAATGTTTATTTGATGACCCAAAAATGACAGTCTCCTGGCAACACTGGGCTTTTAGTCATTTGTCTTTGAATAAACAGAAAATGTTAAAAAAAACATAGAGTGGGTGATGTCGTATGACTTTCATCGAAAATTGACTCTCTCAAGATCGACTTACTTTTCAAACATGTCTCGCATAGATCATGCGAGCGTACTTCGTTCATCAGTTGACACAAATATTTGCATGACCTTTTGTTTCTGAAAGTCAAGACTTCCTTGATTAATGTGACATGGACTTTGGTATACAATGAAGAAATTATCTGTAG